GCAAGCGAGCGCAGGGCGGGCTGGCAGCCCTTGGGACTTCGTCCTGCGCCCGCTTGGTGCCCTTGGCCCGTTTGTGCAGAGACTCCTCGTCCTGCCTCCTTGTCCTCTCTGTTTGTGTCCCCCTTCTTGAGCTGTCAAGCAGGTCCATGTCAGGTGCTTTGTTTGTACTTTGAAAAGCGCACGGACTTTTGAGTAGGTTTTTGTTTTCATCTGCTTGCAGGGATGAAGAGGGCAGGTATCATCGCACCACCAGAATGAGATCTTCTCGCCATGCTGCCTCCCTGGCAAGTCCACGTGCCTTCCTCTAGGAAAATAAGGGACTGTTAGGTTGGTGGGTGGCCTGAATGACCTAATTTTGGACCGGTTTTGATCAGCTTTCTCTAATTTGGGTGCTCTTTTTTAAGATTTCTATATCTGGAGTTTGGGGCAGTAATTTCAGCCTGTTTTGCATCTGAGCATAAATAAAACTCCGGGGCTGAGTTTGGGCTGAGCTGGAAACCACCAACACATGGTCTCGGGGACTCACGCAGTCGGCTGATGCCTTCGGAGGGAGATTTCTAGATTTGAAAGGGTGGTTTGTGCTGCAGTACCGGGATGAGCAGCCTTGGCCCCTCTGCATGCCAGCCGCCTGGGGGGCAAAGCGGCCTGGGGTGCCCGTGTGAGAGGGCATCCGACCAGACCGTGAGTGCTCAGGTTGATCCAGTCCAAGTCCAGTGCCTCCGGGGCACATTTAGTCATCCCTGGAGTAGTGTTGCTCTGTCAGTGTTATTTTTCTGGGAGTTTAGGCCTGCAGTTTTCTGCTTTAAGCTTGGATACCTGTAAGGGCAGAAATAACAGCTCCAGACGGGGGTGGATCAACGCTTGCTTCCTTGCTCTGAGGAAAGGAAGGCCAAGCGCTCAAGTGAGCTGTTCTTATTAAAATGCAACTGGAAGAGGGGGCATCGGGGAAGATGGTGATGAATTAGCTAAGCCAATTTTCTCATCTAAATAAATGAAGGTTAGTTGGCAGAGTGTCTTAGAGCTGCAGGATGATGCGAGGGCATTCCGGCTAGGACTGCAGGGAGACAGTGCAAGGAGCCCTGGGCTGCAGTCAGACAGGGGACTCTCTTCGACCATAGCAGCGAATAACTGAGCGTTCTGATCCTGGGTGCCCTCAAATGGGGTTTGACACACTGCAGGCGTGCACGCCTCAGGTTTCAGCAGTAGGTGTCCCTGTACCTATCTCTGCAGCAGATGACGTACCACAGACCACAGCACTTGGGGGTTTGGCGTTGGTATCTTTGTATTTTTCCGCCTCTCAAACAGTTGTGATCTGTCAGCGAAGGGCGGGCTGGGTGGCTTGCGGAGAGAAAGGTGCACCCAGAGTTCACTTTCACTCACAACCAGCTCCTAGTTTCAGTATGTCCGAGATGCTCCGGATTACCTGTCCCTGCCTTTACTGCAGATGTTTTCAGTACAACTTCTTATGAATCCCTAGGCACTATTTTGTTGAGGGCCCGGATCCTTTTTCAAAGGCAGGGGAGCCAGCATCTCCACGGCATTTGTGAGGGAAGGGCTTTTGTCCATCCCTCTCTGATACTGCGAATGCCTGGCATGGTTTGCTTGCCCTGGTGTGCTTAGCTCAGGTGGCTTTCTTGTCATCACCAAAATTGCTGTTACAGTACAGTACAGGTTCTTGCTCTATCCCTGACAGGTGTTTAGAAATGTTGTAGCACCTTTTTCACTCTCAGAGGGGGTTCAGACCCATGGTATCTCCAATCTCCCTGTCAAAAAAAAAAAAAAAAAGAAAAAAAAAAAAAGTGAACTTCCTTCTCCTGACCAAATGGGCCTGCCTGAGTCCCCTCTCATTTCTCATTGTCTGTTCTTGCGGTCTCTTTGAGGAGACTTTGATGAACTGGCTCGTGGCCTGCTATAGCTTTGCAATGCTAAATTGTGTGGTTTTAAGCTGTTTCATGACTGAAGTGCTGCAAAGTCACCCAACAGGGCACTCCTTTCCTGCCATGCTCTTGTCCTTTGGGAGCTATTTGCCCCGTGTTCCTGCAGCTAAGGTACCATAGGAGGGATTTCCACAAGAGCCATCGGAGGGCAAGATCTGATAGAAAACAACTAAACCCCAAAGCGACTCCAAGCAAGCTCTAGGTGACAGCTCACCGACTCCAGCATGGCTTAGGCTCATGCTGTGCCGGAAGTGCCACTGCACGGAGCAGGAGTGGGTGAGCGGCGGCGGTCACTACCACACGGCGGTCACTACCACGGCGCGTCTGCCTGTCCCACCTGTCCCGATGCAGCTGCTGCCGTAAGTACCCAAGCTGCGAGATCCCTCCTGGCGTTTCAGCTGACAGGGGCATGGATCAATGTGTGAGGGCTGCTGTTCTGGATTACTGGCATCCAGGAAGCGGTTAGCTTAAATATAGTCATAGGGGAGATCCTCACCCTCCTTTTCCCTTTTCGGAATTACCACTTGGCAGGCAGAAATATTAGCCGCCAGCAGTGACTACGCTTTTCCTTCCTGAGAAAACACCACAGTGCTTATTGGTGTAGTTGTAGATCAAAAACTCAACTATCCAAACCACATAAAGCCCTGCAATTACAGGATCTCCACCAAGTTCTCCTTATTGCTTCATCCCTATGCGTTTCACCTTTCTGTCTCAAACCTCAAGAGCTTTGCTAGTCAAATGTGCATTTTTGGGTATGATGCCACGGGCATTCAGGAGATGACCTCATGTACTGGGGAAAATCCAGGCACGTCAGTCACTTCAGTAACTGGACAAGAGCTGGGCTGTGCTGTGAAAATCAGGGTTTAGATATGAATCAATAGGACCTATCTGTGAAAGAAGCACAAGTTGCTCTAAGTTTCTCCTTGTAGCCATGTGGGTTATGATGGTCATGCAATGCCTCATCAGAATTCAGAGCTTGCTTATTCTTGATGTGCAAATCAGGCCTCGTGCAAATTGGCTTCAAACAGTATATAGTTTTTTTGGTCCATAAATCAAATAGACTTGAAAAACCTAAAGAGCGGTGTCCAAAAATCCAGCTGGGTATCCATTATACACCTTCCCGTTAATGAAGGCTAAAGGATTTGGACAGCTGTGCCCAGCACGTGTCAAGCATTCCTTGGTTTCACTTGATGCAATAAAAAAACAGGTCACCTGCACGAAGGTGATGAAGAGGAAACCCTCCAGGCCTCGCTGAGCAATGCCCGAGTTTCATCCCTGCTACAATGTGGAAGGGTGTCCAGCTCAATAGCATCCCTGGCGCCGAAAACTGCAGTTTGGCTTCACTGGAAAAGACGTGTACATACTCTGGGCCATGGATGTTGGTGTCACTTCACCCTTGTCGTGAACAGAGCCCCTAAGGTAAGAAATCCTCGGGAGCGACCCAGGCTGGGCACAATCCTACAGCAAGTGGGACGTGTCACCTGGGTCCTGTGCAAGGGAAACGTTCTTTTTTTTTACCTATAGTTCTTGGGTGTAAAATAGAGATTTTACACAATCGTTATCCCACCTTGGAGGAAAACAAGTCCCTCTGTGGACTTGCAGAAGATGTTTTTCTTAATTCACTACTACGTTACTCTATAAAATGCTGACGAGATTTGAAAGCTCTGGACTATGAAGGCCATTACACAACCACATGTTTTTTCTGCTGCCCTCTTCCTTCCTGCCCACTTCAGCCCCGCAGCTGCGCGTCCCCTTCCTCCTTCCTTTCCCGGCTGGTGGCTTCGCCCTGCCCTGGGAGTCCCTCCAGGCTGCAAAAGGACTTGGAATATCTGCTATGAGAGCTACCAAAAATACCAATCTGAGGGCCGACCCCATGGATCAGCAAGCAGCCTGCACGCACGGTCACGGTTACCCGCAGCGGGTTGCGCTAAGCACAACGCCAGCCCTCCAGGGCTTGGGCTTTATCTCATTTCACAGCCAAAAAAGGCAGTAGTGTCTCCAGCCCAGCCTTGGGGGTGGTAAAATTAAGTGAAATGACCCCATTGGCGGTGATCGTGGGCCGCAACGGGGGTTTGCTCCCTGTCCTGGTAGAGGACGCTCCCGGCGTGACGCGACGCGACGAGCCGGTCCTCCGGGACAGCACGGGGACTCCAAGTGTCTCGTGCCGAATCCCCGGGCTATGGCCCCAGGGCTCAGGTCACAGCCTCGCGAGCCCCCCTGCACTCCCTGCAAGTGCCACCTAAAGGTTTCGGCGCTGGTAGGCACAAATGCAGTTGCTGCCGCTGGAGGAGAACCTCAGCCTTCAGTCACGACCCTGCGAGGCTGAGGAAGAGGCTTCCTCCTACTAGTGCTGCTGTGGTGGCCATCGCCTGGGTTTGCTGGGCGTTTTCCTGGCACGGGGAAGCGCTCGCTTGGAAGTGACTGGACACGTGTAGTCGAGATCCGCAGCCTCGTCCCCTTGTGCAGCGACCAGCCCTGTGACGGCAAAAATAGCATGGGGAATTATAGCCCCGCTAGAGCAATATGTAAATATCTGGCTGCATGCAAAAAAAAAAAAAAAAAAACACCACAAACCTTTTTGAAGCTGGGTTTTTT